TGATCCCGCTATGTACGATGTTTCCTGCACTTCGATGGTCAGTTTATACTGGTCTTGTATAGTTTGATAAATAGTCGTGTGTACTCGCAATCCCATTGGATACATTATTGATGATTTCCTTACTTTTGATGTGGAATAAAGAATGAATAGAGTAAGCTAGATAAGTTTAATTTCCTCAGTTTTCTCATGAGATCTAAGTAGATATGTTTGTGTTTATTTTCATGTTCCTACAGACTGCTTGAATATAATAGTTATAACTTATCAGACTCGATCAAGGAGGTTAGCATGCACTTAATAATATAAGGTGTATTGGCATCACTGATTTTCCAAGTAAATTTTGACTGCCTGGTTGGCCAAATGATCGCAAATGCGACTGCCGGGCAAGAGGTGTTGGATTCCCGGTCGCTCAAATTACTACTGAGTTTTGAAAGAAATTCTCAGTTTGCACGGAGTTTTGAATTGTGTATATGACATTAGGCTTACCCCCTATTACATGCGACACATAACATAAATAGTGAAAAGTGGGTGTTACATTGTAAAGTGATAGTGTCGTAATGTGCGCCTCTGCCTACCCCGTCGAGGATAAAAGGCGTGATGTTATATTATGTTGTTTACCAACTTAACACAGAATAATGAACGCCAGCATAAGATAACTTACTGGATATTTATTGATTAACTATTATAATTCAATGAGTGAACAGATGTGCGCAAGATATTTACACACCATACCTGAAATACCGATGAATATTTTTTTTTACAGATAGCACGATTTGCGACCTAAGTATCTCTTAGCTGATGCGTCTGGAGACCCAGTGAAACAGTACCAATACAGCGTTAAATAATTAAACAGACAGAGACCGGCCATTGTTCAAAGTGAACATTAATTATACCGATAACAAAGCTGATTAAACAACATTAAAACATCAAAGAAAAACGATTGGAGGCCTTAACGATCGATTATTATCAATTATCTTGTCTATAATTGAAACACTAAATAACATCATGTTTAATCATGGACATTATTATTTATAGGAACAAATACCGTAACACGACATAACCATGTCATGTTAAAAAGGTACAATATAGTATTTTTTTAATCTACTACCATTATTATGTAGATTCATTTATTTAAACATATTTAAGTTATGTGTGATCAGAGCAAAGTACAAAATTGATACACACTATAACCTCTTAAACTGTCAAACACCAAGCGGTCACCGGTGACGTGACCGCAACCTATTGTTCTATAATTGTGTCTATAATGACGGTACTCGACGAGTTAAACCAATGGATCAAACTAAAAACCTAGAGTTTAGCGACATTGACCCTACTAAACGTGTAAAACTCACACCCAAACAAAACAATAAAATCGATTACCCAAAATACGCCATCAAGTATCGGAAACGATATTTTTCGGCGCGAACACTGACAAGTTCGTCCGCATCTTTGAACAGGGGGCTACAAACTCTTAAGTGGATTAAATGTCTGACAAAGGCAGTTATTGCGCGCAGTTACTCGCACCGTCGTCATGAATACACGGTCTTTGTTAATACTCACTTGCCATTGTTTGTCCCCTCTTCACTAATCTATAGGTACGTGTATTTTTAGACCCCACTCATGGTACTTTACTGCTAACCAGATTTGGCCGAGACGCTTTCTTGTTGGATCAACACGACGAAATTGGATCATGTCCCTCAGTATCCGTACTTTATTCAAAGTACTTTGGTAAATATCAGGTAATGTACTGATTCGTGTCAAACGTGTTGTTGAAATCGTTTAGACATGTTGTTGGAGGGGAAAAAATATAAAAATAAAAAGAAATATTGTGCTAAGTGTGACTTTCTCACAGCGATAAAAAGTAAAGGGTTTTGGTTCTCTTAAATTAAATTCTAAACTTAGGTACATCTATATAAAAATCAAATTCTATTTAGGTACCTTATTGACAGTCATCACACTTAAACCGAAGAATCTTATGCATGACAATTTAAACAGAAACATTGGTTTATAAATAAAAATCCTAAAACTAAACATATTCGTAGTCGCTTTTACTACACCAGCAAGGCAATAGTGTGAATATTGAAATTGTAAACCAAACAATATGAGTACATTGTCCAACCCGGGACTCCGGATCCCATGCTATATGTACAGAACCCATTAAGAAATCTATTATTCAGGCAGATTCCGGAATGCATTATGGCGTCTGTTCACACACAACCCTACATCATGAATCGAATCGACTCCATTGTTTACAATAAATAATTGTCGAATTGAACTGTCATTACATAAACATAATAATTAATTGTACTGAATAATTCATTCTGTAATAACGATCTACTTATACACAAGTCATAACACAATAACTAATCGTGTTTTTTTTGCAATTAAATCATTGATTATCAGCTATGTTCTTCTGTTGTCGTATCTTAATATATACTATTCAGGTAACCGCAATTTAACTAACTGAAAATAATTTCAGGTTGGATCCAGATAGAGCCACTTATTACTGAATTTTTTAATTTCAATGTTCTTACCACGGACTCTAGAGTTGTGTAGTGCAATGGCAATCGTACACAGATAAAAGATAAAGATACGTTTAAAAGTCAAACACGAAAAAAAACGAAGTGTGGGAGAGCCATGCTTCGCACGAATGGGCCGGCTGGACCGGAGTGACACCACGGCCTCACAAAAAACAGACGTGAAACAACGCTTGCGTTGTGTTTCGTCATGTGAGTGAGTTTACCGGAGGCCCAATTACCCCCTTCCCCCGTCTCCCCAATCCGCGAATCCCCCACAATCCTCATACTCTTAATTCCCCAAAAGGCCGGTAACGCACTTGTAACGCCTCTGGTGTTTCGGGTGTACATGGGCGACGCCGATTGCTTACCATCAGGTGATCCGTCTGCCCGTTTTCCATGCTTATCTCATAAAAATAAATTACTAGATAAACTTTTCATCAGTAAAATTGGGCTCGTGTTGCTCTAACTAGATTTTTTAATGAAACATTATTACATTGATACAAAGTACCAACACAAATATCTACTTTGCAGCAATTTGGGACATTCATCAAGATTAGAGCAGTTTTAATTAATTAAACGTTTTTTAATTAGAATTTTACGTGTTTTCTGCAGTTATCTTGGGCCTAATATAAATTGTATTTTCGTTTTATGAGGGTAATTCGGCAGATCGAGATTACTCAACAATTGGATGGAAATAGTAAAACATAACAAAGTCCAGACATAAACAAACCTAAATATAAAAAATATTTTTGAAGTAAAACTCTGTACCTAACTTATATCGGGCGTTTTATTTATTCTGAAAAAGCTAGATTTGTACTTGAAAATATAAAAAGGACCTTTCGCATATTATAATGTTAGTAAGTAGGTTTTTGGTAAGTGTAGAAACCTTTAAAACACGTTTAGGTTTAGAAAGACAAGGGAGTGTGGGATTTTTACCTCTTAACTCGTTGAGTACCGTTATTATACTTAGACACAATTAAAGAACAATAGGTTGCGGTCACCGGTGACCGCGCAGTGTTTGACAGTTTAAACCGCACCCCGTGGTTATCATTAGTACCTGTCTACAAGTATAAGAGGGACCGGGTCTACTGAAAAGAAAAAGAAATCCAGTCCTATTTGTGTTATCATGGCACATTTTTAGGGAGATCTTCGTTCCTTTTGCGTCTCCCAGATCACGGTGCCAAGTGACTATAGTGACTTCATCTTCTTCAAGACACCCAGTGAGGTGCTAACAGTCTTCACTCTAAGCACCTGTGACTCCAGATGCCCTTGTGCAGGTGATGAAGGCGGGATGTAGTTAACCTATTGTAACTTTTGCACACAATTTTAGATTTTAAGTTGCATTATTCCGTCCCGAGAATAGAATCTGTTGCTACGAGAACGTGGAAAAGTAAGTACTTCTTTTTTATCTACTGTATTATTATAACCAGTAAGCAAAAATAGTACTGCCGACGCTACTAAAATGTATGAACATAATATTTGCTTAGGTTTTTCAAGAAAACAATATTGAGGGGCAATATTTGTACACTGAAACCTTTGGGGTGGCAATCTTTCTGCTTCCCAGATTTTGTTCGAAACATCGTAGGTACCACAATAATCAAAGTGTATAAGTAAAGTGTAAATCTAGCATTTCTATTGTCGTAAGTTCCAAAATCGTCAAACAAAATATTTGTATTCGATGTCTTAACTTGTGAGGCGGCCCAAGTATACTATAGCCACAGAAGTTGCGTATACCTGCCTGACTATACGTCATTATTTTATAACTATTGCATAATTAATGCCACAATAGGTTAATTGATTTAATGAAACACCGCCATTAATTAAATGTTAAAATATCGCATCAATTAAGTTATTTTCATTTCACTTATTTACGAGCGTTTTACATGGTAATGAAGCCGATGTTCCGATTATATTCAGCTTCATTCGTTATTATTCCACAACGCTCCAAGCTCATACGATTATTTGAATGAACGACCTAGTGTTTCTCGCAGGTACTTATAGACAGTTTTATATGTTACGTTAACTGTAAAACAATTCCCCGAGATAAATATAACGATTTGATAAAACAATATTAACCTTTTTACCAAATATCTTGTTTCATAATCATGTGTTCACAAGCCTCGCCCTTGTGCCTAACCTACGTCATAGCCGTGTGTAGGATATGTTTCTTAATTTTTTACTGAAAATGTAAAATATAAGTTACCAATTCAAATAAACTGTAAGTTCTTGAAAATTGAAGTCTCAATACTTACAGAAAATAAACGTTATCAGCAAAGTTTTGAGAGATCTCATTTACATTGTTATAGTAAATAAATTTTGTGGCAAGTCTGGGGTATTACCGTTGAACTCTACTTGGGCTGAGCTCAGCTCAAGTCGTTGCAGCGATCGGCGGTCGCGAGGATTTTCGGAGGTTTGTGGTGTGACGTCAGCGCGGACGGGGCGCGGGGGCGCGGGGGCGCGAGCAGTGGCGCGCGCCGCCTCGCTCCGGCCGACTGTCCCTACCGCTACGTACTATCTGTTGCGCGCCGAGCGCGGTGGACGCGCTACGAACGCGCCGCACGCGACCCTACCGCCCGCCCTTCACGCAACCGTAAACAAATTACTACGTACCCCGTGTCCGATGCTCCTTACGCTTGTGTGAAACCCCACTTTATTCCGACTTCGACTCATGTGATTTAAGTTTTAGTGACTTTGACGTCTATCAGTGAAGTAGTAAGTGCCGACTAGGGGTAAACGGCCCGTCTGCCGCCCACGGACCGTAGTAGTGGAGTAGTAGCCGCGCCAGACTTGCCCACTGGGTGATGCACCGAGTCACAACACACGATAACTACTTCGGCAACTTATAAACAAGTATTGCACTAAGGTACATTTACGTTAAACTCTTGCTAAGTGTAGTCCCTCGTTCTTTTATTTTCAGGCTTTGAAGTTGATGTTTACTTTTGCATTCTAAAGCTCTTCTTGTATCTAACTGAAATATACTTTTAAATTAGAACATTAATATTCTATAACTGTGTCGGTTTATCAAAATATTTTTAAGGAAAATAATATGTATTTACATGACCACCAACTAAGCACATAAAGTTGATGAAAACAAATACTTATCTATTATCGCGCTTGCTTACATAAGTTGTTAATTAAAATGCGTCGATCAGCATTAATAGGGCGATTAGATATACCTATATCATTATCATCCACTGTAATTATTAGGTTAACTGCTAACCGCTAACGACCATCTTGGGAGTAAAACTATATGAGTGGAACTATTTGGAACTGAAATCTTAATTATTTTTATAATATTTACAATCATGTCGGGAAATGTTAATTGTCATTTAAGCATTTTGGAAAGTAATTTTAAGTAATCAATTTAATAATAATGAGACTTTATTTACATCACCTATCAAAATTGCCTTATCCAATATTTTTTTTATGAAAAATATGCATAGGTATTGCAGACCCCTAATGAAATCGAGTCAGCCCATTTACCTGGACGTAGGAAAAGATTCTCCTCCCATTTTATATATAGGCACATTTATAATTCAGATAGATCTAAATCTGTGCCTTTTCGTTTTGTCTGGCCTTTAGGTCAAAGTCATGATCACAGATGTAGTTACACGTTTTGAGAGAAATAAAGCCGATTTAAGTACTATTAACTAGGTGTCTTCATATATACTTCATTTAATACTTACTTACCTAAATAATACTAGGCGATTATCTAACACTCGAAATACGACTAAACATTTTTTTTATAGATCCTGTCATGACAAATTTAAAAAATAATTACATTAACACATATAAAAAAAAAATTGTCTCCTATTCCAAAAACTTTCTATAAGCGTGTCATAGTTTAGTGTTTGGAAGATGTGAATTATTAAAAAACAAAAGATTATATATCTTTAAATAATTCACGTGCCACCGTGCACAGCGAAGCTCAAGGGAAACACACGTCTTCCTATCCCATCGAGATCGAGGGATGCGATTAACAGGCGTTGCACCATGGGGTCTCCCAAGCAGGCCTCTTTTAGAAGATTCTTACAGGTGCTGTCGCCACGGAGTGGTTTTAATACGGTACAAATTCCACGCACCCTAGTCTTTTGCCGCAAAAAGCTAGGCGCCTTAAGGTTTAACCTTGTCATTAAAAAAAAAGAAAGTACCGATGGCACCAACCACCCAACCATTTTTTAACCAAAACTTATCGTGACTTAGCAGTTTAGCACCTGTACTGTTAGCTATCACTTAGAGATAGGTGATAACTAAACTGTCGCTAAATGTCACCTATATTAGCTTACGGGTTACTTAAATTTTGTTAAAAACAGAATTTGAACATTGAACAATAATTATAAACATACCTCTACTATAACAATAAGTCAGTGTATACTAAGCTAAGATTACACTTGCTTAGCCGTAATTATTTGTAGCAATTACTATGGTTACCTGTATAATATGTTAATCAACAAACTACGTGTAATTTCTAAGTAGTCTTAAGTTTAAGTAAGATTACTTATATAAAAAGAAACCTTCTAGATTTATCTCACAACGTACGATTATACCGTTTTACTAAGATATTTCTGATAGCTAATTGTGTCTACTTCGTTTATCGAGTCTCTAGTCCGATTGCCAATGTCTAGGTCAAAGGCAATGTAAATAATAGTGACGCAGATTATGCTACGATTATGATACAACTATGTAGTAATGAAAATCAAAATAGTGAAAACTTACTTATTCATGTTCCAAAAAAGGTTTTTTGGAAAGTCGAAATGCCAATGGCATTAAGCCAACCTACATATTATGTCCATAAAGCCTAAAATAAATAAATAAAAATATTCCCAAAGTGAATAAATAAGTAACAACACGTAACATCGTCACGATTTTGAAGCCCTGAGGTAAAAGTGCACATTGCCCATATTCCATGCAGCACCAATTAATCATCAGTTATGAAACCTACCTATATAATAAATAAAGGGGATTTTTTTATTGCACCTCTATTTAGAAATTTAACAAATAACCAACTGTATATCAAAAAAATAAACCGTACAACAAACATACTGATTTGCACACTAATTGTTCAATATTAGATTAGGTTAGGTTTGTTTTTTTTGGTTTAATATATTTTGTTGCACTCGAAAAATTATTAGATTTACTTTTAGTTAAAAGATGGTCATTCAGTAAAACAGTTAAGCTTTAAAGATCTAATAGTATAGTATAATTGATTAATTAGTAAATTTATTGTGCAATTCAGTACATTTGGTGGTAATTACGAATATTTTGTTTGAAAAAAGGGAATTTACAGTCAAAGTATTATATACCACCCATATATAAATGTTACAATACCAGATAGACTCCATACCATTACTGAGAAATAAATAATGCTAATAGACTAAGACTACTATTAACTACCTTATTAAAACTTTGTTCTACCTGGGAATAGAACCTGGGATCTCAAACTCGGTACTCGACTAAGCGAGGCTGTAGATAACTCGATAAACGTCAACCGATTAGTTGATAGTGCGGTCAAACTTATGACCTTTAAAATGTGACGTAACCATTTGAGGAGTCGATTAGTGCAGTAAGCTGGATAAGCTCGGCTTTCTACAAGGGTCGCCTGTTTGATCACTGACAAATATTGGCTCAATACTCATCAATGGATTAACATGACTACTGACATTAAGCTTTTAATGTTAAACTTTAGATATATATCATATTGTATAGATTGAAACTCGATTGTTATATAGTACGTTAATATGTACGGTAATATGAAAAACAAACTTATTAGGTACATAAAAAGAGAACGGTTTATTTAAAACACTTTAAAAATAGGGTTGATGCCTAATTTTTATTTTAATGTCTGTCACTTCTATGTACATTTTATACGTAGAAATGACGTTTTAGCCCCTACTCCTAAACTTTGATTCGTTTTATCTAACTATTGTTTTATATACGACAAATTAAAAAAATACTTGTGTAATATTTTTTCATTACCTAACTAACGGACTAATTATATTTTTAATTTTCATACCATGTTATCATCCCAATTAGATAAGTAAATAGGTTCTAGGAATAAAATTGTTAAATGTTTTACTTTCATATTATTTCCTGACGAAACAAAAACTACTAAATAGAATCATAAACACACTTACGTATCTAAAACTACAAATGGCATTCTAAAATGTTCATACCAACCCCTATAAAAAATAAGTTGGGTTTTAAATATTCCTCTATACATATCTTTCTGAAAAGCCTGTCCCATTTCCATTCAACTAGGTAACGCTGAAATTCTATGGCCGGGATTACTCGGGATGTACGATGCCCGTTCTATTATACTTAGCGTGATGTAAACCTCCCTTTTTCACATTTTACTCCTTTAAAAAAGTCTACAAAAGGCGATAAGTGAATCATTTTTGATATTGACTTGTAGAGGGAAAATACATTCATAAAATTTAATTAATAGTTATTAAAAATCATAACATAAAGTTCGTTAATAGAAACATTCACGATTCCCAATCTATATTCGGTACATGAGCATGTATATTTTTATTCTGTACTTCATTGCTCAATGTTTCGTTATAACAGGAAAATAAGCAAAAAGAAAAGTTTTCAGTGCCTGGAACATCTTGCGGGAGTAATTTAATTTATTTTCTCTGTATCTCGGTATCATTTAAATCGCATTTCAACTACGAAGGGATACAAAAATACTACTTTCGTTTGTTTATTTTTCAAAAAGGCGGTTGGCGTCAACTTTTACAGTAAATAAAAAAATGCCTAAACAAAGAAAATTTCCATAGAAATTGGTTTGCTCTGAAGCCTTATTACCCAATTTTGTCAGACTGATATCGTGATGTCGGTCAGCTCAGAAAAGTCGTAGACTAACTAGTCACGAAACACTCTCTACCTTTCTCGAGTCACTTTTTACTGTATTCCCTAGAGAAAGGGTGTATTGTATTCATTGTTGAAAAATACAGAACAAACACTACAAAATTCTGCTACACAGCCTGTCGGAAGTTTGTATCTTATTACGTATGTAATAAAATAACAGCTTCCGTAAGAAGTCCGTAACAACAATGAGGACTTGTTTAAAATTCACTCTGTGCCTATTGTTTGCTCGGTAATCCAAATAGGACAGACGGCGATTCCGTCCGTGAAAATTCCTTTAATTGTATACATTACAAAGGACTTCAGCCAACGTACGTTTATGAAAATAAATGACCGGGCGAAATATAATTAAAGGTTCGGAATATTCCAGAATGCGATGAACTTAATGACGCGTTACTAAGGATCGCGTGGCGTATTAACGTGGCATCATCCCCAATATATTGCTATGCATGAAATATCGTACGCTCTCTATAGGGCGAATGCTTTATGCATGAGTATTAATCATTGTTCTTTAAATCGTTTAAGGGGAACGGAGTTTCACGGAAACCGGGTTGCAATTCCAGGATTAATTTGATTCGCTATTTATGTACCGTTTACGAGTCTCGTGTAATTAAATGTGCCTCCTGTTTTGTTATGCCGTTCATGATGCGTTTAATTTTATCTTTGTTTGCTGTGACTTAGCAAATAACGTTGTTTAAAAAATATGAAAGTTAGATCTTACGAAGCAATCTCACAATTTTCTAACAAAATTTCCTTTTCATAGAAGCGAGATAGGAAGATATTATATTACCGATATCTACGGTCTGCATACAATACCCTTCCTGAAATATTATACGTTTTCCTTTACATTTTCTTCACCAAGCTTGGCTTTAATATTTCTGTGGCGTGCATCGTAGTTCTATCGGGTTTCATAACATTTTCTAAATGTCACCTACTAAGGTCACTTGGTCACTTGGCCTGCAATGTCGCATCACTACAGCGGCCCTGGATTGCTCG